CCAGCCCGCGCTCCGCCCCCGCCCCTGTCCGTGCCTCTGCTCCGCCCGCGCCGTCCCGCCGCGCCGAGGCGTCGCTATCGCGCCCGGCCGGCCGCCTGCCGCAGCCGCCTACAACGTCCAACTTCTCCTGCGTCGCCTTGGCCGATAAATCACCGTTCGCGAGAGGCGCAAAGGCCGGCGGGGGAGGACGGGAGGGGGCCGACACTGCAGGGCCGGAGGTGAAGGGCGGCGGCTCGAGTTTGGGTAGGATTGCGGAAGAGGGAGGGGTCGTGGTGAAGGCGGAGTTCGAGAGGTGGGGACACCGGAGTTGGAGTCGGTTGAACGGAAGGACGAGGGGATTTCGAAGGTTGGTTGGAAATGTGTGAAGAGCGGAGGTCCGTGCCAGTCGGGGCAAACGATGGTTCATTGTCCGTCAAGTGGACGTAAAATAACATTAAGCCGTAGAATTAAGAAAGAAGCATTTGAAATTTCGATGAAAAGAGAGAAAAAGCAGAAGTAGTAATAAAAGAAAAAAAATTGGGTAGAGAACTAAAAGGTTTTGAATAATTTCCGAGGTGACATTTAATACGTTGCTGAGTACTCATGCAAAACTCATGGACGAATTAAGTGTGTTGGCTTGTACTTGGTGCGCAAATAATTGGGAGAGATGTAGATAAGATATTCTTACGGAAAGAATAAACGTTCTCGGGTATATTTCTGGAGGAACAGTGATACTGTCATGCGTTCGTCAGACTTGTTATTTTTCTTCCTCCCTACAGAGTAGAGAGTTATGTAATCCTACGCGAAAAATACGTTGAATTTTCGGTAGAAAGTATCTGATTACAGGGCCTTGGCAAGAAAAAAGTGGATAAATTCAGTTGATAAATTTAGAAAAAAGTTCTCTTACGCATGGTGTAGCCAGAATCCCTGCTTGTGGTTCCTTGATAATAAAAGGGCGGCAAAATATCTGTCCGTTCGTCCGTACGTCCATATATCTGTCCGTCTGTCTGTCTATGAGCAATGCTAGCTGTTGAACCTTTCTGCCGATTCTCTCCAAAATTTAATGCCACAATTGACCTGGCTGATATCGCGTCCCCTCGAATTTGAAAACTATATTTGAAATTTGGTTACTTGAAGACCCTGGAATATATTCAACATTTTAAAAAAATGGCTCCATCTTTTTCATATAATTTTGTTGTTTGATAGAGTGAATGATGTTTGAGAGAATACTGAAGGTCTCATGTTCGTTAAAAAATCTGATATTTCGAAAATCACAAACGTTTTCTCGCAGTCTTCTTATAACTAAAATATGACAGATTGAGATTTTTCCCTTAATAAAATCTGTTCCTTAAAGTTGGATTTTGAAATAAAGTAATGTGTAATTTTTCGAACACTTGAGTATTTTTCTGCGTAATGTTGCGTGAAAATACGTGGGAGAAAGTGCATGTTGTTTTAGCACCACTAGTGTAAATAATTGCACCGCTGTGTTTCTTCTGAATTATTAGGTTTGTAATTGAATGGCAAATTTGTCATGTCTCTTATTTAATCATTACTTAATTTTTTATTACTGCAAGATTTTCTGTAGGATTCATTCAGTTGGTACTTCAACAACGTATTCTTTTTAAAAATGAGATATTTATTACTTAAAACTAAAATTCTTATAAGTGGATGTCAGGCACGGAAGTTTTAACTTCTATATTAAAATTTCGATGACGTATAAGAAAATGTAGTAGTGTGTTATAAAAAATAGTTCTTATAATATTGAAAGTTATCAATAAATTAAATGTACTCGCTTCCAATAATTGTTCATGAGAAAAAAATAAATATAACTTCCACAATACATCAACTTCAGGAAAAAGAATATGACTTTACTGCAACAGCCCTCTTGGGACGGTTTCATCCTGGTTTTACTTTAGTTGGTACTCCCTTAACTGAATTGCCAAAGTTTCAGCCATGCATCGTGAGCGTCAGAGAGTTGAGAATGTTTCCCATTCACTGAAATTGAAAGAGTTGATATTGTAGGCATTCATTTACATTGCTGGTACACTGTTTTACTACAACATTGTAGAATTGAACGTTATCCTACAGAAGCAGTCTTCTACACGACAATATACCTCATGCGATGAAGAACCCCGGGATCTCCAATCTGACACCCAGGGGTCCCCGCGCTGTTTCCTGTGGAGATAAAGGAAAGGGGCTGGGCGTCAATCTCAGCGCGCTTGGCGGCGCAGGGAAGCGTTTGTCGTTTGCTTGCAATTCTTAAGGGCAAAGCGCCCTCCGTAGCGATCCTGCTCCCTCGAATCTTTCGTTTCCTGTTCCGGAGTAAGCAATCGATTGCGACAGGACATCGCCCGGAAGTCTTCGCTTGGGCGGAGCCTTGCAGATGGGCTTGAGACGAGAGCGATGTATCTCAGCTTCGCGACCTTATTCTTTTTGTCCTTCTTTTCCGTCCTCTTGAGGTGTGGTTTTGATGCAGTCTTTTCTGTTGTTCGCAGCTGTTCGCGAAATGGAAATTTCATATCCGCTGTCGTAATCCGCTGATGTTTTATTAATGTTTAGAAAAGGATAAGCGAATAGAAGAGCATGTAGCTTCAAGTTACGAGCTTGTGAAACTTCACCGAAGATACTGCTTAAGTGTTTTGTTTCGCAATATTCTACTTGTACAAACATCAGTGTTCTCGTGTACGGGTTTTGAATATCATGAATGATCCAAGATGCGATTTGTTCTTTTTTCTTTGGAATTTTAGAGTGCTCAAGTTGCAACTACACATTTTATCGCGGTACTTCAAAACTTTGTTAAGCTATATTTGCCGTGCTTATGACAGACGACTCTCGATACCATCACCAGTAATATCATTATATTTCGCCTTTTTGTTCTTCTTTCCGCGGCCAACTTGTTTCGACTTAAGGCGCCATTTCGTAGCTGTAACTTTATTGGGCTCTTCCCGGGAAGTTTCTATTAAGCTTGCACGGCGAAAATGCCAAAAACTCGCGGAAGGAAAATCGAAACTTTCAGCGTATCTAGTAGACGATTACAATTATTGTCCGAAGTTGTGCTCTTGCTTCGTTACTTTTCTACAATTTTTTCTCTCTCTTTTGTGTGTTGCAGGTAAGTGTGCGGGACGCACGCAGCGGGAGAGGCCGCCGAGGGAGCGAGCAGCGGAGATAGCGCGCGAGTCGCCGGTAAGCGGAGCGCTCGAGAGAGAAAGAACAACTTCGCCTCGGCGCAAACTTCTCGCCCACCTCCGACTATTGCGCTCATTCTTATTAACTTCATCTTTTCTCTCGTTATTTTGTGCGAAAGTTGCCGCGCGATGCCCGAGCCGAACCGAGCGGGTGGTAACGCCGGCGACGCCATAGTGGTGATGGCGGTGGAAGGAGTAAATCCCTGGTTATGTTTGTGCCGAGGAAGTGGGAAGGATACGGGGAGTCCGAAAATGTGGAGACAGGGTGGGAAAATGCTTCGAAGCGACTGGTAACTACAAAGTGAAAGTGTGATTTTGGAAAGACTATGAAACTTTTTGGAAATTTCCATTTTCCCCCTTTTACATAGTTCGTCGAAACAAATTGAAAAATTCAAGGGTTTCTTTGACTTTTTGCTTTTCTTGGATTCTCAACTGTTTAGCGTGTAAACGTTATTATTTAGATTGACATTTTGACTTTTTCATTTACAGTTGAAAGTATTTTACTGAAGTGAGAAGAAAGTAGAAAGATGAATATGTAAGACAGCATTTTATGAACTATTAACTCTAAAATTGTAAATAAAACAACTTTCAGCACTTAAAATTATTTTTTTCAAATTTTTATGATGTTCGATTTATTATTCAGTGAACAGGATGTCTTTTTAGAATTACAGCAAATATAATTCTTTTGGAATATGCCTTACAAGTGGTTGTTTTACAAAAATTGTAACCTGAATAAATTCAATACGAAGTGAGAAAGGAAAGCGAAAAAGGTACTGCTTCTGTGTAGGTGAATGCACCGTCCGGGTCTAGGAACGTAAAAGCCCCAGAGAAGGAAACCGCAGCTGTTTGTCGCCTGGGTGTGATGCGCAAGACCTTGAGTGAAGCCAGAGTCGTAGAGGCTGTGATTAAAGTTAGTGGCACTGTACGAGAGGTCGGCACAGAAATATTTGCCGTGCAGAAGTCAGGAGCACAAAACTCAAAGCGAAAGTGATTACGATGGCGGTGAGGATAGTGATTGTTGTGATAGTGGTGATGATCGATAAGGTTACGGCGGGAGGATGTAGGTGGCGGCAATACCGTAGCGACTCGAATGTAGAATAACTGCGAGGATACGAAGATCGGTGAAGTAACAGTTCTGTTACGGGGAAGATGAATTCGATCCAGTAGTTCGATGCCTGTATTCGCAGAGTCAAACATCAAAACATAAAGAGAATAATGAAGTTGAGAAGATACGCAAAGAGTCGAAATTTTGAGATAATTATTGAGAATATAATTCTGATCAAGGCATTTAAAGGGATGGAAAATAAAGACATGACATAACGAAATTCGAAGGGGGGCAGAAATGAAAAAATGTATATAGATTATAAAATATCCCGGATTATATTACTGATTATTTTTACGATATTTCTCCCATTGCGGTAGGGATATTTTCCACAATATTAAAAACGTAACATAGGGGTCGGCTCTAGTAATGGTATAGGATACGACAACAAGTGCACAATGACAGGAGAACAGAAAGGAGATAGAAGCGGTAAGAATGGGATATAACACTGATATGTGTGCCAGCTGCTGTTCTTACCGTGACTGAAGCTGGAGTCGCAAGAAGAAAATGGATAATAAGAAGAGAAGAGTACCGGAGAAGCAGGTGAGGGCGTTATCTGTCGGCGGCGGCGGCGGAGGCTGGGAGTGCGGGAGGGTCGGCTGCGGCTGTGGCTGCGCCCATCGTGGACGCGTTGGGGTGGCGGTCGTACCGCTGGAAGCCCGATCCAATCTAAACTTGCTGGCGCCGTCGCGGGCTGGATTTGCGGGCGCCTCTCCCGGGTGCTCCGTCACCCCACGCTTCCTCGCCCCGCCCCGCCCCGCGCCTTTTATTTACCTCTCCCCGTCCCTCCCTCGCGCCCCGCGAGGAGTCGTTTTCTACCGACGTGCGCCGCCAGAGTCGCTTCCGTCGTCGACGACCACGTCACTCGCCCCTTTTACTGTCCCTGGTTTCCAAGACGGCCGGGTGAGTCTGCTTCCTTGGAATGGTTTACTAGCGCTGACTAAGTGGTACTCCTGGACTGCAGCATTATTCTCTGCAAAATTTGCTTTCTGTGCCATTTCGTTGTCTGTGTAGAAATAGAACAAAATTATCTTTGTTTCAGGCTTTGGTTTGTGTTATCAAGAAACAATAAATATTTCTTTCGTTTTGTAACATTTTATGTTATACAGTTCTGGGTAACATTTATATTCTTTTTATGATTACTTTAGCGCTACTAACATGCGGGCGAGTATGGAAATCAAAAAGCGTCTGCTGGCGTTGGAAACCCATGTGAATTCAAAAATTCGCAACAATACATTCCATTATGGGGTCCGTCATTGGGCACGCCTGGACAGTCCAAACATTGGGCACAACAGCAATGACGACGACGACGACAGAAACAGCAACTTTAACGAGCACAATTTTGAATATCGAAATTAAGTAGTTTTGTGATCCTTGAAATATTATCAATCCATGAAATACTACTTACTGTCGGCCAATTTCAGTTTAAACAATATCATGTATTGGGTAAAAATGACTTAGTTATTATGTAGTGTGTTAAAACAAACTAGGGCGTCAACATTACATGAACGTTTGGAAAAGATGATGTAGTGTAATGTAACAAAATATATTTCACTTACATTTCGTTGTTTCCACACCTATAATTTTAACAAAATATTATTTTCTTTCGTTATTTTACTCCAAGAATGATACGTCTGTCCACCTTGGTAAAACGGTGGTCTTTAGCAGTGTTTTTTGTTTTTCGATGTCCATATTGTTACTTGCCTTTTTGGCAGCGCCGCTGTCGTCTCACTCATGCATTCCCATGCCTGCTGGGCGCGTCTGCGTGAGCCCGGTCCGTTATGTCGCGAATCAGCGTGTGAACAACGCTATCGGCTAAACCGTTCAGCCGATTTTCTCCATAATTTTATTCTTCAATCGACCTGGCTGATGTCGCGGCCCCTTGAATTCGAAACTGATATTTTAATTTTGGGAGATACTTTACATGAAGTCCCTAGAACAATTTCAAAAAATAGAAGGCATCGGGTTTTATTAAAGTTTGTTGCTGGATAGTGTGAAGGACGTTTAAGAGAATGGTGCAGGTCTGATTTTCGTTGAAAACTGATTCTTCGAAAGTGACAAAAATTCTCATTTTTTTGCCGTCTTCAAACAACTACAAGTATGAAGATAGATATTATTTCTCTTAATTATATGTGTTCCTTAAAATCAGATTGTGAAATAATTAATAATTAAGCCTTGTACACATTTTCGAAAGTTCGAATACTTTTCGCATAATTTAACGTGAAAGTGCAGATTAAAAAGTGCATGGTGTTTCAGCACGACTAGTTTCTTCGATGTCCATATTGTTACCTGCCACTTAAGCAGCGCCGCCGTCAGCCCTCGCATGCGTTCCCATGCCTGCTGGGCGCGTCTGCGTGAGCCCGCCCCGTTGCGCCTCGTATCCCATGCATCGCGTCGCATTTTTAAACCTCGCGGCGCCGTTTCCTGCCGCATGGAGCGCGCGTTCGTAGATTTTGATTAGCCGTTTAGCATTTCACGCTTTTTAGGTTTTGTTTATGTCGTAAATAACGTGATTAGGTGCGATACCGCTCGCGCCCAGTGTTATGGCGGTGTTCAGAGGGAAAAATGTTGTGTTCTGGTGTTAATGCTAGTTGAGGGGGCGACCTGACGCGTGCTGCCTGCTGAGCGTTTTATGTATTTGCCCTGGGAATTGAATGTGATATGCACGATTTGTTCGATGTGGCCTATTCCTGTTTACTACGACGTGTTTTTTGGTTTATTGTTTTAGAGCGGTTGTATATTTTGTAGTGAAAGCGTTTGCCGAGTTCGGTTTAGACTTCGTTTTATATAAACTTGTATAATTCGTACCATTATGACATGTAATGCACTTAAAGTAATGTTTTCTGGGTAAAAGAATGTTTACGAAGAAATTATTTGTCATCGGTTTTCTTTGTTTCTTCATGAATGATCTTCATGAATGATGAACTTTACATGGTGAAGGTTCTCATCAAAGTGCAACTAAAATCTCAGTGGTTAGAAATATGGTCCTCTTTTTCATTAAGAAAAAGATAGAATTTAGAAGTTTCTTTTTATTGTGCAACGCTGTAACAAATTCATAATTTTATTTCCTTTTCGAATATTTGCAATAGATTGCTGCCAAGTAAAGTCTAATTTAGTTTGTGTTCATATAGTTCTTATTTAGTATATAGAATAACATAACATACATTCGCGTTTATGTTCTACCAATCAGACGTAGTGACAGAAAAGGAAACAATATTAGCGACCATTGCTGCGGACATTGTTATTGGACAGCTTTCTTCGCATGCATGCAGGTCAATTGGGCGCTTGTTTCGTCCGGGGCGATTTGGATGGTGAATATACGACATCCTGTAAGCCGAAAGCCACACAGAGCTACATGAAGCTGTCCAATGAACAAACGTGTTGTCACGTGTTTCATAGTTGACGGGCTCCTTTGTAATGATGTGGCAACGAGGAACAATATTAGTACATTGTTTTTTGTATTGAACTGCGAGTTCATTGTTGTCTCATCAGCTGGCGACTACCCAACTAGCACAGCGAATGAGCGACATCAATGAATATGTGTGTTACAATGAACATTATTGACGAATGCGTTCTCGGTCACAGTGATTTTTCTATTTTTTATGGCAGTTTACAATTCTACATTTCAACTCAGCAGTCAAACCCTCCTAATAGCATGTGATTAACTTATGGTTTATTTAATTGGACATTCAATAAAATACATTTGTAATTGTGATGTTAAGATTAGTTTCAAATGAAGGAATATTTTCTTAGCCAAAGTAACAGTTTGTATTATATGGTTTCTATACAGTATAAAGAAAGTTTATTTTGCGTAAGGAAACGTAATTTTGATGGAATAATGAAAGAAAATAAATGTAATTAGTGTTGTAAGGAAGCATCATTTGCTATTCTGTGAAGGGAAATAATTTTGAAAAATGTAGATTGAAACGTGAGAACGTGCAGTGTTTTATATTATATTTTAAAATATTTAACCCTTCAATCGCTTCAAGGAAAATCATCGCAATTCTGGTTCTTCAAAATTTCCTCTTACACCCATACCATCACTGCATATACAATAATATTTTTTCTTTGCTTTTTGGCAGTTAATTTACCTATATGAATATATGAAAAAGCAAGTTATCCTCAAAACAGTCTAATTGTATTATGGTAAATGGCATTTTATTTTCGAAATCCTTATTTAAATATTCAAATAATTT